AGATGCTGCTACCTATAACACATGCATAATTTTGAAGGAAGTTAAGGCATTGCAATATTTCTGCTCCATTAGAGGATGTGCTGACACTAATAGTTACAAAAATTAGGAGAATACAAAAATTAGGAGAATACCTGATAACTAAATGAATATTTCTTCAACAGAAAAAGGGCACTAAATAATCCAATATAGAATTGATTGTTGGTGTTGGATGGAGAACAATTTTTAGTTGGTGGAATTTTGAGGAAGAGTATTGGATACAAATCGCCTCAAAAGCTCAAACACAAGCAAAGAATGAGAAACAACAGACACAAATACAAAGAATTGGAAAGAGCAGGAAACGTGGGAAGAAAAATATAAAAATAATTAATTTCTACATAGAGACTTCACCGTCGAAGTCTTAGATAGCGTTAACAGAAAGTTAAATTTCCGTTAAATACAATTCTCTATTTCACTTAAATGACATATATTATGAATTATTTATGTGTCATATTTTCATTGGATGGAGATATTTCCGTAATATTTAGAATTTCTCCAAAAATACTCTTAAAATATTCTTGAGTTAGACTGATCTAATCTTTGACAATAATTGATCTAACTATCCAGTGAACTGCAAGAGTTGCTCACTTGAGTTTATGCCAATGATATGCCAACAATATTCGAGATTTCATCAGGAACTAGTTTGCCTGCAGCAAATGCACTTAGGACATGCTTTACTCTCCTTTCAGGTGGTATAGCCTACATAGAAATTTGTCTATCAGGGTTAACAGCTCCATGGAGTTCAGTTGTCCTAGCTTGTGTCTCACCAATGAAGTGGCTTATATATATATATGAACCTCCGGTTTCTGCATGTCGTCTCGCTCAGTGGATGGTGAAATGTTATTTTTGCGTCAAATTTCCTGAACAAATTCTCCAAATCTATTGCAGCATGCACCAGATTGTGTAAATGACCATTGTATTGGTAATTGGTTCTCCAACTCTTATGCTTCCATCTCAACATCAATTGTCGCATAACCTGTCTTTGACTGTTTTATTGCATTTTCCCCATAATTTTACAGACCCCCCATTAGGCTCTGAAGTACGATAGCAGTTTCATTGGAACCGAGTGATGAGAATAGACAAGGAATTCTCTTGAATCCGAACCCTGTTTAAGGGTAAACTTCCTCTCTTCGATTCATTTTTTCTTTTCTGTATGCATAAACCATCAAAATGGACATCCCCACTATGATGGATCGTGTTTTACTTTAAACTTCCGCACAATTCAGAACACCGGACTGTTCTTTGATTCGAATTGTTGGCTATTGACTATTGTACTCTGCAATAAGAAGCCATTTTCTAATGTACAAAGGGAAAAAATGCATACAAAAAAGTAGTTTTTTTTTTTT